GGGTGTGTGTGGAATAAACAGCTCCACTACAAGGGCTAAAATAACTTACTTTCTCTTCAGATCAGGGAACAGCATGTGACTCCTTGTGTCACTCTTTGTTCCCTAGCTTGCTCCTGTCCTTGACTCAGGACAGATTGTAACTAAAATTACTTACTTAAAGATCACAGATTTTGTTCAGAGAAATGAGACTGATTTTTGTCAGACTCTGTCCCATTCAGTTTAATCAGACAAGATCAGACAGCCTAATGAGCTGCTAAAACAATCTGTCAATTGCCATGTCAGCAGCACTGCAAGCGCAGGCAGCGGAGAGGACTCTGTTATCATGTGCTACCTCCAGCCCCCAGGAGAACACATGGTGCAGGCCTAGAACTGCAAAATGGCAAAGAGATGGGAAATGGACACAGTGTGAATCAGCAAGATTGGAGTTGAGCAGTAGGAACAGGGCCAGATTAAGAAAGGGGCTTTTGGGGCTGCAGCCCAAGACCCTGGGTTAAGGGGATAACCCTCACAAAAAGATCTCTAGGATGCTGAAAGTCCAGGTTTCTTTGTGGAGCCCACTCAGCCTGGGGCCCTGAGCTGGCAGGCGTTAATGCCTCTGCCTGTTATCCGGCTGTGCCAGGCTGGGGGTAGGGGAAGGCAGCTCTGAATGCTGCTGCCCACCCCCGCTGGGATGAAGCCACGTTGCCTTAAATTTCTGGCCAATGGGATCTTGGGGGAGCGGTGCCTGGAGGCAAAGGCAAGTCAGCGAGGGCCATGCTGAGATACCTGCTTTCCCCCCACCAAAGGGGAGCTGCTCCAGGTAAGTGCCCTGCACTCAACCCCCCCTACCCGAGCCCTGAGCCACGTCCCTCATTCTAACTCCTCCCCAACCTCTGCATCCCAGTTCTCTGCCCCAGCCCTGAGCCCCTTCCTGCAGCCTAAGTCCTCATCTCCCTCCTACATCCCATATCCTAGCCTTGAACCTGAGTACTGAACCCACTCCAGCACCCTAACTCCCTCCCAGATGCCATAGCCTCACCCCAACATCCTATCCTGAGCTTCCTCCCATATTCCCAACACAATGGCCCTAGCCTGGAGGCGCTTCCTGCACCTCAAACGCCTCATTTGTCTCCCGACCCCGGAGCCCACACCTCCAGGCCAAGCCCTCACTCCTCTCCACAAACACCCTCCTGCCTCAACCCACAGCCATCTCCCACTCTCTGAACCCCTCATTTTTCATAGAGCCTAGGGGGCCCCACAAAATGTAATAGCCCCAGTTCCCCAGAAGAGTTAATCTGGCCCTGAGCAGGGCTAACTGACTCTTCCCTCAACAGCAACTGGCTATGAGGTGTTACATGCCCTGGAGAAAGGTCAGGGACACGGATTGCATCATCCGTTGCCTTTGGCAGTCCTTTTTTGACACAATTTTCTCACAGAAAATCTCTCTCACTTTCACTTTGCTCCAGAATTTTACCCTTTCACCCACACTTCACTTTTATTTAGTTTTCAGCAGGGAGAAAGCCATTACAGCCCTTTGAATAGCATTGCAACTTAAACAAGATTCTTTCCAATCTCCCTCCTCCTCCACCCCCCCAGAATCCAATATATAAGACTGATCCTTCACACACTTACACTTGTGCTTACCTTCGTTACTGTGAGTAGCCCCGCTGATTTCAATGGGACTACTGTGCCCATTTGGGGTTTGATACACCATGACATTTCTCTTTTTATGCCACTGTGCTACCAATAAAGTCAGTGGTGTTACACATTGGTACACAACTGGAGTTATGCAGTGGTAACAGGCTCTTGGTCTAAAAAATATTAGATTTTAAAGTGAATTGTTCTAAGATAAACACTTTTTTTATGTCAGGATAGCATCTAAATTTAAACATATCTGTTATCGGAGTAATTTCTATAAAGCACACTCTATTAACAAATATGCTGTGCACATTAAAACAGGATACCATTCTCTGTCATCTAAAACCACCATGCAGACAGTGGTAACTTATAATATTCCTTATTCCTAGAAGGGAACATTTGCTTTGACATAGAGTTTGTAGCTAAGTCCATATATTTCAACTATCAAAACAAACATCTCTCTCAATTGCTTCATCTTTAAACCTAAATCTCTT